TATATATATATATATATATATATATATATATATGTTTGTACACGTATCTATATAATTCTTTGTCAAACATGGATGATGAAAAAACGTGACGTTATATCGCTGTTTTTCACGACAAAAAGTAATGAGAAGAAGTATTGAAAAAGTAGCAATGGAAAAACCGCAAAACAAAAACAAAGTCTAGTTTTTGTGCCACATTTTGCATGGTTTAAAATGTGCCGTTTAAGTGCTTAATTTTAGATGGCTTTGCATAGCGTTTTCACTTTTTGAGGAGACAAAATTACATTTGCGTTATTAGCGGTATCGTAAATCATTACAGCTCTTGGTTAGTCTTTTTTCCGGAAAGATAGGGTCAGGGAGAGAGTAGGATAAGGTAAAAATAAGATTACTTAAAAGACAAATAACTATCCTTGACTGCTTTTTTCTTATTGTTTTCGATGTTCTGAACGTTTGACGAGGTTAGAAGAAGAATTTTTCAGGTTTTTTGTGACGATAGAGTGATGGTGTGTGTACAGCTAACAACTGTCTAATAATAGGCCTAAAAAAAGGCATAGGTTACAGTATGTCATTTGCAACAGTGCTTTTTGAGCCGTTCAAATGCTATTCTTTCCCTTTTTTCTTTCTTCCTCCTCGTCGCCACTGCCTTCTCTTTTTTTTTCTGTTGTTTTAAATTTTATTCTTGAAACACCGATAAAAAATAGATCTTAGAAATATGTAAAAATAATATTAAAACAAAGCAATAAAGCTCATTTTTTATGCTAAAGGGAGCTGAAATAGATAGGCTGGAGAAAAATTATAGCTAGAAGAAAGTCATGTTGCAAATCTTAACAAGAAAAATTCATTGTAATTTCCGAGAACTGACGGTGTAAAAGACTAAATTGGAATCAATAAACGGACAAAAAACTGAATAAATCAGTAACAGTTCTTTCGTTCTCTCTTTTTTTTGTCATTACTGCTTCTTATTCTGATGTACCTAACTACAAACATTTTTTGCCTTAATAAATAATTTAGTTAAAAGGGGAAGTGAAATAGTTGTTAGAGCAAAAATATTGACTTAAATTAACTAGAAGCTGCAAGTAGTGAAAATAACAGAGAGAAAAGCTTATCAGTAAAGATTATCTTTCAGTTATGCGCTATTTCCAGATTGTGTTTAAAAAAAAACAAAGCAGAGGAAGTGTTAGAATGAAATCAAAAAAAAATAAGAAATTTAGGCTCAAAAGTAAAGTTTAAAGTTAAAGGGCCTGGTGGACAACTGAGGTGAAGAATGATGATTTTTTGGGGTTACAGTTGGCTTGGATAGCCATCACATTTGTGTTGCTTAAAAATCTCTACCCGGGACATAAAGAAAAACTGCCTTTTTGTCTTCATTTTTTCCTTGTTTTATCCCACCACTTTTTTCAGTCTTATTTTACTTTCTTTTCTATTTCACTTTTTCTTTCATAAAAAAAAGAGATTGTCAGCATAGATTAACCACTTTGCAAAAAGCTTTTTTGATCAAGCATTAAGTCTTTTTTTTTGTGATGATTATGCTTAATTATATCTCTTCCTAACTGACTATTACTGCATACACCGAGATGATAAGTATAAGGGTGGGAAGGGATCAATAAGGGGAAAAAAGGCGGAGAAAGAAAAGCGAGGAAACAAAAACTTTCATCTATTTTAACAGCTTAATCTTTTTCTTTTTGTTTTGCTTATAGACTACGTTGTTTTTTTGTCTGTTTTTAAGTTTTTATTCTATCGTTATTGCCGTCGATGTTATTTTAATGATCAATTAACAAATCTTATTATATTATGAAAAACATATGTTTACATATGATAAAACGAATAGCTAAGTC